AAGAAGAGGGCCCACAAATATGGACTGCATGTGCGTGTGTGTCTGTGTGTGTGTGCATGTACATGTATGTATGAATACCTGAGGTCCCATGGTGATTGGTTCATATTGGAATATGAACAGACACTGGGGTGCTTTCCCTCTGAACAAGAAGTCCCTTACCCAACATCTTCACATGGCTTTCTCCCCCAATTAATTCATGTCTCTGTTCAAAAGACAATTTTACTAGAGAGCGCTCCCCTTAAGGACTCATCTAGAATAGCATTCCCCAGCCATTCACAACCATTCTCTTTTCTCTATTTTATTTTTCTTTATGGCACTTTCCACTACCTGACATTATGTATAATTTTTATTTGTCTGTCTCTCCAAATAGAATATAAGCCCCTTAAGTATAAGAATTAGTCTCTTTAGGTGTTATATCCCAATATCTAAGGCAATGCCTGGCATATGGTAGGCAGGTAATCAATAAGCATTTGCAGAATGAATGAATAGCAGTTAATTATAACTAAACATAAACAGAATAATTATTGTGAGCTATAACCCCTCAAGCAACCTGATACTTATTAACTCTTACTGGTTGCTCCTACAGAGAAATGTCAGGACAATGTAATGGAGTGTTAAGAATCTAATATTTTCATTATTAAAAGGAGAAATTAAACAACATAGGAAATAATATTTTCTGTTTCTAAAAGATGGAATTCTAAAAGCAAAATATATTTTAAGCTTACTCATAACTTTTCAAGGAGACAAGGCTTTAAAACATGAGACGCCCTTTGACTAACCAACCCATCAAAGGTAGGGCAGAAAGGCCAAGAGGCAAGTCAGGAGCTACTCTCCCACCGCGACATAAAAACCCTTTCCTATTAATGAAATTTTCGAACTCCCAAGCCAAGGCAAAGATCTGCAAAGTATTACTCTTTCACTATAAACCACAACTTACATTACCCACTTAATGTCCTTTGCTGAAAGCATAAAGTAAGAACTGTTTGCAGGGCTATAAGGTATACTGTACCTCTAAGGATCTATTATGAGACCTCTATTAACAGCTCTTACAGACGCAAACAATTTAGTTCTCAAATGCTGTACAAAAACTAAACTGGCACGTTATAAAATCATTTTTATATAAAAATGATTTATGTTTATCCAATTTCCAATCTTCCTTTAAGGAGAAGTCAGACATTAACAGGAAATTACTAATATGTTGTACACACTCTGTCGCTCAAGTGCAAATTCAACAAATACATCATTAGATATACAAAATAAAGTAGAATATATAACTCTTGTTGAAAATTAACTGTCCTGTCAAAATCATTTTAATTGAGTTTGTGACCAGCCATCATCATGGCCAACATGATAAAACGCCATCTCCACTAAAAATACAAAAATTAGGCAGGTGCGGTGGTGTGTGCCTATAATCTCACCTACTTGGGAGACTAAGGCAGTAGATTCACTTGAACCTTGAACCTTGAACCTGAGAGGCGAAGGCTGTAGTGAGCAGAGACTGTACCACTGCACAGTCCAGCTGGGTGACAGAGCAAGACTCCATCTCAAAAAAAAAAAAAAAAAAAAAAAAGAATCACTTAAATTACTACCTTCATTGATAAGCAGGTACCTTTACTCTTCTAAAGCTGAGAAAAGTGGGGAAAAAGCTTTTAAAACGAACTTTCTTGCATCTTTTAAAAAGAATTACAAAAATAGGATGTGTACTCCACGACATTATACTCTTTTTCAAACTAACACCAGTAAAACGTGTACAATATACCTATCTTAGCTAGCACTATTCTAAGAATAACTAATTTTCTGGTATCTCAACATCAATTTTCATTTATAGGATGAACGGAAGCCAATGAAACTGTATTACTAACTGAAAAATTATTTGGGGATTTTTGTTTGTTTAGCAGCCAATTAAGCTCAAATTTTCAAGAACTAGATGGTTAAAAGATTTCCAATTTAGATTCCTCTGTGGTAGTATAGGTTAAGATTCATTAATTCAACGAATATTTATTGGGCACCAATGTGCCAGGCAAATCTTTTCTGTAAGGGCAAGATCTATTAACTATTTCAGGCTTCGTGGGCCACACAGACAATGCTACAACTACTCAACTCTGCCACTACACCACAAAAACAGCCAGAGAAAACACACAAACAAATAAGCATGGCTATGTTTCAAAAAAACTTCATTTATGAACACTGAGATATGAATTTCATATACTTTTCTGGCATCATGAAATATTATTCTTCTTTTAATTTTGTTTCAACCGTTTCAAAAAGTGAAAATCATTCTTACTTTGCAGGCCTTTCAAAACCAGGCATCTGGCCAGATTTGGCTTTCAGGCCATAGTTGGCAAATCCTTGATCTAAACCATGGGGATATAGCAGTGAACAAAACAGAAAAACATTTTACCTACATGGAGCTTCAATTCTAGCTAAGGGAGACAATATGAAATTAAATACATTAGATAACATATCAGATACCCATAAATGCAAAAGTGAAAAAATAAAACAGGTAAGCAGTAGGAGTAATGCAGATGGTCAGAGGGCTTTTACTAAAAAGTGATGAGAAACTATAGCAGTAGTTACAATTTATTTTTCCTTTTATTTTTTTTTAAATAATTTCAGACTTACAGAAAAGTATAATAGTCTAGTAAATAGAATATATAAAGACCTCCAAATTTCAAAAATGACCCAAAAAAAGGCAAGTTGAAAATGGGCAAAAGACGGCTGGGCGCGGTGGCTCACGCCTGTAATCCCAGCACTTTGGGAGGCCGAGGCAGGTGGATCACGAGGTCAAGAGATCGAGACCATCCTGGTCAACATGGTGAAACCCCGTGTCTACTAAAATACAAAAAATTAGCTGGGCATGGTGGTGCGTGCCTGTAATCCCAGCTACTCAGGAGGCTGAGGCAGGAGAATTGCCTGAACCTAGGAGGCGGAGGTTGTGGTGAGCCAAGATCGCGCCATTGCACACCAGGCGGGATAACAGAACAAAACATCATCATAAAAAAAAAAAAAAGCAAAAGACTTGAATAGACTCAACTAAACATTTCTACAAAAAAGATATACAAATGGCTACAGGCACATGATAATTTATTCAAAATCATTGTCATCAGCGAAATGAAAATCAAAACCACAGTGATTTTACTTCACATCCACAGGAACAGCTGTGATGACAAAAACAGAAAATAACAGGCACTGACAAGGATGTAGAAAAAGTATAACCTATACTGCTGCTGGGAATGTAAAAAAGAGTTCATTCAGTTGCCACAGAAAAAATTCAACAAAGAGTTAAATATAGGCTGGGCATGGTGGCTCGCGCCTGTAATCCTAGCACTTTGGGAGGTCAAGGCAGGCAGATCACTTAAGGTCAGGAGTTCGAAACAAGCCTGTTGAAACCCTGTCTCTACTAAAAATATTCTTAAAATTTAGCTGGATATGGTGGTGGGCACCTGTAATCCCAGCTACTAGGGAAACTAAGGCAGGAGAATCACTTGAACCTGGGAGGCGGAGGTTGTAGTGAGCCGAGATGACACCATTGCTCCAGCCTGGGCAACAAGAGAGAATCTCCATCTCAAAATAAAAAAGAGTTAAACATAGAATTACCATATAACCTAACAATTTCACTTTTAGGTATATACCCAAAAGAACTGAAAAAAGGCCGGGCGCAGTGGCTCATGCCTGTAATCCCAGCACTTTGGGAGGCCCAGGTGGGCAGATTACAAGGTCAAGAGATCGAGACCATCCTGGCCAACATGGCGAAACCCCATCTCTACTTAAAAATACAAAAATTAGCTGGGCGTGGTGGCGCACACCTGTAGTCTCAGCTACTCAGGAGGCTGAGGCAGGAGAACTGCTTGAACCCGGGAGGCAGAAGTTGCAGTGAGCCAAGATCAAGCCATTGCACTCCAGCCTGGTGCCTGGTGACAGAGCAAGACTCTGTCTTAAAAAAAAAAAAAAAAAAAAAATTGAAAAAAGTTACTCAAATACTTATACAAGAGTATTCACAGCAACACTATGCACAATAGCCAAAAGGAAGAAACAACCCAAATGTCCACTGATGGATGAATGGATTTGGAATGAAACAAATTGCAATAGATACCTGAATAATGTTGAATACTGCTCCTCCAAAACATTAAGTACTGATACATGCTACACTGTGAACAAACTTCTAAAACATTGGAAAAAAGCCAGGCAGAGAAGGCCATATAAATGGCATGATTCCATTTATATAAATATCTAGAATAGGTAAATCCATGGACAGAAAGCAGGCTGGTGGTCCACAAGGGGCAGAGCACAGGAGAATGAAGAGCAACTGCTTGATGAGTATAAGGTTTCCTCTGGGGAGATAAAAATGTTTGGAACTGAAAGTGGTAGTTATACAACACTGTAAACATTAAAATGCCATGGAATTATGTATTTTAAAATGCTTCATTTTGTGTTATATGAAATTTCACTTCAATTAAGCCAAAAAGGCAGACACAAAAGAATACATATTATTCCATTTATGTGTAGTTCTAAAACAGGCAAGACCAATATATGGCAATAGAGGTCAGAACAGGTGTACCCTGAGGTGACTGAAGGGGGCACAAAGGGCCTTCTGAAGGGCAGAAATCCCTTTGCTGATCTCGGTGCTAGTGACACTGGGCCATGTTCACTCTCAAAAAATTCCTGGAGCTGTCCCCTTAAAATAAATGTGTGTAGTTTTCTATATGTATACTATACATACAAAAAAGTTTTGAAACTATACTTTTTAAAATAAGATTGCAATTTTTTAAAAAACTGTTACCATTCTGAATCAAAGGGTCCAAAGGATCTCTGTGTACTATTTCTTATGACTGCATATATCCACAATTAACTCACCAAGTTTTTTTTTTAAAAAGTCAAAGAATTAAAATTTCCAAACTCCAATCCCTAAAGATTCTGATCCAGGTCATGTGAGTTGAAGGCTAGGGAATCATCATTTTTTTAAAATAAGCTACCTCCAACAATTCTGATCCAGCCCTCACCTTGAGACACTCCAATTTAAATGAACTCCATCAGCTGCTTAACTTCACATTTTCCATGAACCTCATCTTGAGGGGACTTGTAAAGGCATCTATCAACAATAGCACAGAGGATATTGGGAGTAAAAAAGCTACAAATGATCCATGAGAGACTGCAAAAGCTAACCACTCTGGGGCTAGGATGCAACCCTGGAGAAAAATTAGATGAACTGTAAAAAAAAATGAATAAAATGGGAGACAGTCAATGGTAAATAGACATAGAAACCTTTCTGAGCAATCATTGCAAATACAGTCATAAATATTATGCACACACCAGTGATTTTTCTTATGTTTTCCATTAAGAAATAATGCAATCAAGATAAGACAAATGAATATGCTTGGACTTACAGGACGTTCTTCATCACAAACAATAAAAACAATATTTCACTCCTGGGACTAGAAGTAAATAAAAAACAATTTGGTTCAACCTTATTTGGGTCAGAGTTTTTTTATCTGCTTTGCTTCAGGTCAAAATTCTTTGGAGAGCTATACTTTGGCATTAGTTCAAATTGTTTCAATGAGGAATTTTTTTGAAAAGTCTAGTTTGATTTGAAGTTCATTTTCAAAATAGTAAGTTAATATCTAAGTCCAATTCCTATTCTGAAAAATTAAAGGTCATTCCAATTTTATGATTAGTTTGGTAGAAATCTCTATTACAACAGTTGGCAAACTCTAGACCATTAAATTAATGAGCATTAAACCATACATTCATTTCCCAGGCCCTTCCAACAAGACAAAAGTTGGCATCTCTGTCCAAGACTTATTTCAAGCTGTACCTTAAAATGAAGTGCAGTACTACACAAGCTCCTACAGGCAAAAGCAGCAGCTGTCACTCAGCTCTGGCAGACTGCAGCCCTGGGAGAATGCATGCTCCATGTGGCCAGATCTCGTTTTTGCCAAGAGAAGTTAGAAGTCCAGATGTTTATATTAGTCTCCTCATTTTTACATGTTGACAACAAATTCCAATCTTTAAAAGCTACTCTATGGGCCAATCAACACATAACTGTGAAATGTCTCTTTTGCAATCTCTGGCCTACATCACTTTGTAAGATTAAGAAGGTCTCAAGCATCTGCAGATGCAAAATCAAAGCTTGCATAAGTCTTCAGTTTTCCATATAATACAGGTTTCAGGCAAAGTAGCTCTTTGACACAAATGACAGCCCTAACAACAAATTTTATTATGATGCTTAAATATTTAAAGTTTGAATTACCTCTTGCTACTTAAAGAAGAAACAATTAATACAGAACTAAGCCATTCATTTAACCTGCACTGCAGTCTAACTATCAAGTATCAACTTACCTTTACTAAAAACGCCAGATTAGTGGTCAGAAATGCCACATATCTTCTGATTACAACAAATAAAATTTGAAATACCTTTTTCTTTCTCAATAATGAGTCAGATGAGCTTTCTACTCAGAATCTACAGGAAGTCATGGTATTTTTTGTCAAAGTATCAGAAAACTCATAAAATGTTATGGTATCTTTCTCAAATATCATTAGTACAGACAATTTTATCTACAATTTTACCATGTGGTAAACTGCCTATCAAGATAAAACATGATATTCTTTTTAGAACTAGTAATTTGTAGCAAACACACACACATTCCCCATACATAGAGGTATATGGGAGGCAGGGCTACAAACATTCAGGCAACATGCAAAAAATAGCAAAGAGATTATCAGGTAAAATAATTATAGGATTAGAATTTATGTATAAATTAGATAACCAGCCCCCATATATGCAAAAGTTGACTCTTCCATTCCCATCATGAATGTTAGTGACTTCAAGATCAAGAAAGTAGGCATAAGACATAAAGTAGTATTAAATCTTGAGGAAATCCTGGCATTCAGTTGGACAGGGTTTACATAAGAAAAAGTCTCTAGTAAACATAGAAACAGTAACAAGAAACCAACTCAGCTATCTGTTCAAGTACCCTGCCCATGAAATTACAATTACTAGACCCAGGACTTGCCCTTCCATCTTCTCTCCCAGCATACCCATTCACCATTTCTCTGCATTTATTTTAGGATATAGAGGATGGGCTTAAAGGATGTATATCAATTGTATTGCACTTAGTTCAGTTCTGGAAAAAATGCTCAATGAAAATAAAGTAAAACCACGGCAAAACTTTATTAGTTGTAAATTTAACTGCGTTAACCTTGTTTTCCATAACTAAATAATTACAGAATATGAACAATAATAGAGATCTACAACATAGAAATCACAAGAGGATTATTAACTCCAAGTTTTGGTACAAGATTGATCTAAGAAGCAGAATTTTCATAACTGGAGCTAACTGGGAATAACATTATTTGTTATCATGGGACTACAGAAAGCCAGGTCAGGAAGAAGCTGGACATATCATCCAATTTAATATCCAGTTTGCAAGTAGTTGCTAACTACAACTTAAAATATTTCCAGGGAAGTTATTATATACCCATGCGAATATGAACATGTTGTGCCAAAAACACAGAAAACATGCAGTTCTCACACAGCAGAGGGCGGTTTGCCATTATAAACACTCAAGTTAATCCTTGTATAGGAAAATTAGTAGATATGTGCAAATTCATTTTCAGGTCACTGAAAATTAAAGCCAGAAAGCCTATTTTCATCTATGTATCAAAAAAAAAGGTACATGAGATTATTTCTGTAGTGATGCGGCCTGCTGTTCTATTCTTAGACTTATCCTCAAACAGTCACATAAAAACATTTTTACCCAAATACTTTCCCATTATAAACAATTAGGACATGCTTTACTGAGCTATCTATTATGTTTGAGGTTTTAGCCAATTAATATTACATTTATAAAGAGTAAATATTTCAAGAATTAATGAACTTTATCCAATAAGTTTCAGCAGGGTTAGCCACAAAACACTTTTATTAGGCCCAAACGAAGTATCTTTCATTCATTAATACAGAATCACAAGGCACACTTAGGAATCAGAGGCTCAATTACTTTAAAAAAAAAAAAAAAAAAAAGTTCCTAAGGAAACAAAAACTTTCCATTTTTGTTCTGTAAATGCTCCTAAATGAAAAGATATTCTTTATTTTTTGACTTTCTCTCTTTTCTCTCTGTCTCAGGACATATTTACAGATGCACTGGCAGCTTTACAGGCATGCTAAAAGTTCTTGCTGCAGTTGATCAAAGTTGGAATGTCTGAGGAAATTACTCAAGTAAGACAGCCTGGAATTGTATCTAGCCAAATACTTAGACCACTCTACTTTTAATATGTGTTAAAGAAATATTTTAGCTATCCTGGATGTAAGTTGAGACAACATTTGTTTGCATCACACTCTGTGAACACTTGAGTCAAATATAGTATGTTGAATATCAGGTTTTAGTATCTGTGACAGTTCATTTTTTTTAACTGTTCAATTCACAAAAGATAGCATACTTTATTTAAATAAAAAAAAAAAACCCTCACACAACAACATATGTAGTAGAAACTACAGCTTTTTATTGTCTTCTTAAAGTGCCCAAGTGTTTCTGGAAATGTCAGAAAAAACTGAACTAATGTTAATATTTGTTCATTAGAGCATTTGTTGAGCTGAAACAAAATATTCTGTCCAAAATGGAATTTTTTTTACTTTTTCTTACACTACCCACTATAAGCTCAACATATTTTTCTTCATTATTTAAAATATTTTCATAAAAAGGTATCACACATCTGCACTTACCTCCTATTACTAATCTGCCTAATTTACAAAGATACATATAACATAAGCAGAAAAATGACATCACAACACTTTATTTTCACATTTTTTAAATTGAAAGCCACAGAATTGCAGTACAAAGAGTTATTTGTCAAACCTAACACAAATCTCTAAAATAAAATATTGGCTTCAATAAACTATCACATCTGAAATAGTTTTAAACTTTTAGTTGGATCCTTTAAGATATCCAGAAAGAGGTTAGCACAGACAGTACCTGAAATTGTCCTTTCCATATGAACTACAACAGAAAAGACAAATGTAGCTGTTCCTCCAGTACTGCCAAATTTGGCAGCCACTTATACTTCCCTTCAACCTAAATAATTATACCTTTCAACCATATTGACAATAATATGGAAATGCCACTCAAAAAGAACCTAACAGACCATGGAATTATAATAATTTAAATCACCCTTTTATCAAATGATATGGTCAGAACTGGAGAGGAAGGAGGATACTGCTAACTTTTAAGTCCTCTACTAAGCTTTTTGTGTTTAACAAAAAGACTTCTAACCCACTAGAAAATGTTGCTAACATTTGCACATACTCCAGAAAAGGGAACCATAAAGAAATTCCCCACTCTGAATGTGTTATAGTGTTGATGTCCAGTGTTACACTATATGCGTGTCATGAACTGTCAGGAAATATGTACATGATATAGGAGGCTCGACCCTGAGAATGACTCCCAGTAAAAACTGCCTGCAATGGGAATGGCCAAAGACCTGCTGTCAATTGGTATGCCTAAGATTCAACATTAAGCTGATTTCTATAGTGAGGTACAATCCTTCATCATTCTAACACTTAGGTACAGAACACACGAAAGAGAAAGAGAATATATGAAAGAGACAGAGAGAGAGAACAGCAAGATTTAGAATCTTGATCAGAATCTTTAAAATCATGTAACTTAACCTTTTTCCTCATTATTTTCCAGATTCTGAATAAAAGCCTGGGTTTGAGAGACAAAAAAAAACTGAAAATCAAAAGGTAGTCTTTGAAATTAAACACCATCATACCAGCCTGTGATTTTCCAAACACAGAAAAATCTTATTAGCCTATCTCCTTCATTACAAAAAAAGATGTTAAAGTATAAAACTGATGCCACAAATGATATAGATCCAAACACAAATATATATATACACACACAGAGAGAATGATTCAAAAATTACAACACTATAAATGCTAGTACCAATGAACCTAATTAAGTCCCATTTGGGTAATACCCCTATTAATACGGGACTAGAAGACATATTACACTCAAAAATCCAAAAGTCTAAATTGCTTCCACATAGTCAGACACAGGATTTCCACCAACTCCACCACACTACCACATGTGGCTTTAAGTAGCTCAAAATTGAATTCCAAAATGAAGTCTATTTTTGAGAGTAACAACTCCCAGAGAAAAACAAGGTCACACATATAAAGTTTTATGCTCCTCAGGAACTGCTAGATCTGATCTT